AAGTACGCTCCCTTGAGGTGGAGCTGTTTAAAGTCTTTTCTATGGTGATGTTACTGTGGTTGTGTATTCCCTCAGTAAGTGTGTGTGTGTGTGCGTGCGTGTGCGTGTGTGTGTGTGTGTTTGGTGCAGGTTTAAGGACAGCAGGATGGAGGATGTGTGGCTGGTGGATGTGAGTGTCACACACACAATTAAAAATACAAACACACTCACATTCGTGCTCTCCAACAGTGTGTGTGTGTGTGTGTGTGTGTGTGTGTGTGTGTGTGCGCAGTTCTACGCGCCGTGGTGTGGCTACTGTAAGAAGCTGGAGCCGGTGTGGGAGGAGGTCGGAGCTGAGCTGTCGCGCTCGGGCTCGCCGGTTCGAGTGGGGAAAATGGACGCCACTGCATATTCAGGTGAGAGGTCAAAGGTCAGCACAGTCGGTCACCTGTACAGACGGCATCACAGAGCAGCTGACTGTAGGAGGGGTTTGGGTTTATTTGCATATTAATCCTGCATCCGCCTGTCAGACGGTCGCTCGGTGCTGCTGCGGTATTCAGCATCATTCAGGCCTGTTTCCATTGGTCACTGTGGTGTGGCCACACCCACAGAATCTCCTGCTCTGACAGCGCTGTAATGAAGCGTTCAGCAGCACCGCAGCTCTGATCATCATCATCATCATCATCATCAGAGTGAGGTGTTGATGACGGCTCTGTGTGTGCAGGAATGGCGTCAGAGTTCGGTGTTCGGGGATATCCCACAATCAAACTGTAAGTGTCTCACACACACACACACACACGCACACACACACATGACGCTGTTCAGCATGTGTATCTGGCCTCACGGTGCGGTTCGGTTATGATCATCATGCATCATCAGTTCAGTCGGATGTCGGTGCATTGATGATGCTCCACACACAGGGTGATGTTTTACTCAGCAACACAACACTTCTTGTATTAAATGAATCATTAATAGATATATTGATAGATTATTGACGGGGGACAAGCGTGCTTTGGCCCGGTTCGAGGCAACTGTTCCTAGTGTTAGTACAGCCTTACAGCGTTCATTTTCTCCATAGCCGAGTTCTGCTGTTCCTCCCGCTCAGTGAAAGACTGTCCAGCAAACACACACACACACACACACTGCATAGTGCGCAGTTATCTGCCGTTCAGTAGCTGAAGTGTTTTAAATCCTGGCGGCCTCGTCTCTCAGCACATCATAACCGGTGGTGATTATTACTGGACCCATAGTGAGTTGTTCACGTCTGCATCGCGGTGCGCCAAAGAAACAATTAAATATGACACCCTAATATATATGTGTGTGTGTGTGTGTGTGTGTGTGTGTGTGTGTGTGTGTGTGTGTGTGTGTGTGTGTGTGTGTGTGTGTGTGTGTGGTCTCTCTCTCTTGCTCTGTGTGTGTGTGTGTGTGTGTCTCTGGAGACTGTGAGCTGTGAACCCGTCAGGAATAAGGTGTTGTTGAAATTCCTCTTGAGGATGATTCTTCAGCTAATGAAGGAAAACACTCCGCTCTCGCTCTAGAAATGAGAGTGTGTGTTCCTCTTCCCATCATCATGTCAGAAACTGGAGCAGGACTGATGTCTGAGTCTGAATCTGCAGACCTGCAGGAGTGTGTTCACAGCTGAGGGTCCGGGACACACACACACACACACACGCACACACACACACACGTGCGCGCTTGCCTCATGTGGTGTGGTGTTGTCAGGCAGGTTGGTGTCTCTGGAGGGTTAGTGGTGTGGTCTGTGTACTGCTGTCACTATAGTAAACGCAACACAAGCGTTGAAGACTTTCATCATCTGCTTCACAGCGCCGCGCTCGTCATGTGCTGCTGACACACTCAGCTCTGCAGAGTAACACACTCCTCACATGTGCGTAATGCAGTAATACGGCCCATGACACGCGCTGCACATGTGGACCTGCACACGTCTGCAGTAAATGTCTGACATGCTGGAGCTGCACATTCACACTCACTGCAGCACTTCAGCGTTTATTCACAGCAGCGGACAGGTGAGGATGACGAGCCTCTGTACATGTGCAGAGAGAAGCAGACGGGCACACGGGCTCAGACAAGTCAGACCAATCACATTACACCACTCTAACCCTAACATCAGAATAGCAGAGAGTCAGTCCTGCAGATCTAGCCCACTCAGCTGTGTTTAAGAGAAGAGTGTGTGGTGCGCACGGAGAGGAAGAGAGTGTGTGGTGTGCACAGAGAGGAAGAGTGTGTGGTGTGCACGGAGAGGAAGAGTGTGTGGTGTGCACGGAGAGGAAGAGTGTGTGTGTGTGTGTGTGTGTGTGTGTGTGTGTGTGTGTGTGTGTGTGTGTGTGTGTGTCTGTGTGTGTGTTTGTGTGTGTGTGTGTTTGTGTGTGTGTGTGTGTGTCTGTAAAAGTAATCTGTGACAATCAGTTTCTCTCTCTCTCTCAGGCTGAAGGGGGATCTGGCT